TTTTATTTGTGTCATCTTTAGCAGCCCTGGTAAGTCTTCACTAGTAGTTCAGTTCTTCCTTCTAGAAAGTGGAAAAGCAGAAACAAAACCAAATCATTTCATATGTGTGCATCTGACTGAATTCTGAATAATCCAGAAGGACAGCAAGTTAAAACAAATGGCAACTAAGTGTCTTTGCCCATTTGATGTGCCATGCTCTTTATCTCCTCTAGTAAATCATAACAAAACACAAACTCATCTCTTAAGAGTTCAGTTCTTGTAAGAGAAGGGGTGGACCTGGATTTTTTTTTTTAACTGGGCTATGTGTGTGTTTTCTCAGGGAAGAGCCAATTTTGAGACACCTGCATCTGCTTTAACCTTCCCTTCTTTCTGAGCCCTGCTTTTGCCACCAGCCAATTAGTGGACTCAGGAGGACATTCTGGGTCAAGCTATACCAAGTACTGCAAATCCTCATTAACGCTAATTAGTGCTCAGTAGGTTAATTGGTGGTGAAGCTCATCTTTTTTTAATTACTTCAGCAAATGAGCCAGTGGGACCTTGTGGTCAGCTTTGAATTATTCTGTTTGTTTTGATGCACCTCATTTGAATGTGTAAAGCCAGATGTTTGTTGCCTAGATTTAAGGGCTGTTTGCTTTTGTGAGGGATGAGAAGAAGGGAACACAGAAAAATAAAATTAAGGTCTCTGTTGACAGCTTAGAGCAATTCAGATATGAAAATGGAAGAGTCATTTTATTCATGGAATGGAAAATATTGTTAAAAATGTTAAAAAACATGTTGCCTTTAGTTTACCTTTTGGTTTGTCATTCACTTAATAAATTCGTGTAATGTTGTTAGCACAGACTTCCAGGCAGACAGAAATCATCTTGACCCTCTTAGGAAGCCATTGCAAAGGTATTCCTGGCACAAGGTATTCTTTATTATTGATAGCAACTGAATCTGGTTTCAAATGACTTGAGTAATGACTTTCTTTAATCCGTTTTTCATAGTAACCTTCCAAACTGGGACATTTTTTATAGTTTTTGTTCTGAGCTACTATTTGTTTTGTTTAGTTCAAAGCATTTTGTCTGTGCCCTTTGTCCTTCATACAATTACAGATAGATGGTGTCTCTCCCTTTCCCCTTCTGAGGTCACTAACTAACCAACTTAAGCATATTTCACTGTCACTTTCCAGGTTACTGACTCCCATAAGGATGTCTGGGTTTGTGATTTCTTCCATTCTGACGCTATTTCTGAGGTCCTGAGTATGAACGCAACTATATTCAATATTCAGAGTATGATCTCTTATCCTTTTGCCTCTATGCATCTTAAGATGCCATCCTTAGATCCTGTGGGAGGGCTTAGGCACTGGCCCTGAGTCACTGGAAAGCAGAATTAACACTTAAAATCATGGCTAATACTCGGTATTGGTTTACAAACAATATTTCTGTGAGCAAGGCCTAACCTGGTGCCTGCGAGTCTGATGTCCTCATTAGTTTTGCATCAAGGTCTGAGGGAGACTGAGAATTTTTCACTTTGCTATCTATTTGTAGCAGACAAAAACCTTTTCTGAAAGCAGGGACTCAGTATCAGTGCAAACACTTTAGTTAAGAAACCCACTTAACTTCCCTTTCCTTTCAGGGCTTGTACTGGGAGATCTAATATCTGTTAATAAATCAAATACTCATCCATTTCAGAAGAGCTGTGTTGCATTTACCTCTGTGTATTAAGAGCTCATTTTATAGTACTTGACTGGTCTTGACTTGCAGTCTGTTTCATCATTGCTTGTACTTAAACCACAAATGCTCTAATTCTTCCATGAGTGTTTCTTTCTCTGCATAGGTACGATCCAATATAATTTCCCAAATGGGAAAATCAGATGTGCCTTCAGTTTTGAAATTGTTGATTATAATTAGCAATATCAAAGATAGTCTAGCTTTGGCTTCCTTAGAGCTGCAATGTGTCACTCATGTTCAGAAGTCCCTTGACAGCATACTTTCCTCCACGCATTGCACGTAGAAGCCTGAGGAGCTAACCGCTATTGGCCTGTAGCAGATACCATAGAATCATTTAGGTTGGAAAAGACCCTTAAGATGATCAAGTCCAACAGTTAACCTAGCACTGCCAAGTCCACTGCTAAACCGTGTCCCTAAGCACACGTCTTTTAAATACCTCCAGGGATGGTGACTCAACCACTTCCCTGGGCAGCCTGTTCCAATGTTTAACCACTCTTTCAGTAAAGACATTTTTCCTCGTGTCCAATCTAAACCTCCCCTGGCGCAGCTTGAGGCCATTTCCTCTTGTCCTATTGCTTGTTACTTGGGAAGAGACTGACACCCCCCTTGCTACAACCTCCTTTCAGGTAGTTGTAGAGAGCATTAAGGTCTCCCCTCAGCCTCCTTTTCTCCAGGCTAAACAGTCCCAGTTCCCTCAGCCGCTCCTCATCAGACTTGTGCTCTAGACCCTTTGCCAGCTTCGTTGTCCTTCTTTGGACACACTCCAGCACCTCAGTGTCTTTCTTGCACTTCATCTGTTGCTGTGTGGTAGACAGGCAGGCAGATGAAGAGTTTATTCCTCATGCCTTTTGCTGCTGTGGTTAATTCCATTCTTAGTGTAAGAATTTCATGGCAGACATTGCGTATTTGTCCTTCAGAACAAATATTTCTGATCAGTTCAAGATTCCTTTTTTAAGCCATCTATCTAAAACCACCTTCCAGTTTTCCTACTGAGATGGGAAAGATCCTACCTGTATGTTCTTCTTTACCTGCAGAATATGAACAAGTATTCCACTTCTGTCATTCACAGGACAGCAGTAGATTCAGACAGTGTTTTGCTACGCTTACCAGTCAGTGGACTTACAAGTTAACCCAGCAGTCCTCCGCAATCAGTGGGAGGTTGCACAATACAGCATCGCTAGTTTGCACATGCAGTGGCAATGATTGATTCTGCAGGCTGTCAACTTCGTAAGCCTGTTAAGGTTACAGAAGTCTCATGTCTTGCTTCATGAGTGCCATCCCCTTACCTGGTGATTCTTTGTGGTACATGCTTTCTATTATGCTGCCTGCTTTGAGCAGTTGGAGACTTCTTTGTGTATGTACTTGATTGTACTTGTACTTCTTACAGCCAGCTGGTCTTTGGGTTTTTAACCAGTTGGATCTTCCAAGATTTTTAGAAGCTTCCATGCTGTAACCCTGGTTTTAGTGGAAACCTGTGATCCTTTCTTCTTTGAACACATGCAGATCTCGTGATCCAAGAGCTCTTAAAGATTGTTTGACACTCTCAGTTGGTATCTATAGTTTTGCTTCCAAATCTGTTATCAACTTCTGTGTTATATTGAGGAAATACTACTGACTGCAGGTGGGGAAAGCAACCTGGCATATCTGTTGCAGGTGTGATTCTGTGGTGCCACGGGAAGGAGGGGAAGAGACCAAGTGTCTGAAAATGCTGAGAGTTTGTAAAGATTTTAAGGAGGGGTCCATGGGCTGTACAAGTTTCTAGTTCAGGTGTCTGAGCTTAGAGACCACAGGAAAAAGAGAAGGATTCCTCCCTGTCTTTCGTGGACATCTCATTATGCACCAAACAGAGGACTGTGAGCCTGGATATTACCCTAATGGACTATTAAGTGGAATATAAGCCTGCATGGCTGGATTACATATTATAGGCATCTCAGAGATTCTTTGGTTACTTTCTTGTTTGAAGTTAGCAAACTGCTTCAATGAAAGGGAGTTGTTTGTTTAAAGCTGTTGCAAGCTTGGTGACAGCAGCAGCTGTGCTCGCTGGGATTTCCATTCCATATACCAAATGTATGTGAATTTGTAATCTAATCCAAGAAAGATATCAACATTGGCATTCAGATGTGTATCCATGTTTGCAGCATAACCAGTGGAATTACCGCTTGTGAATAAAGGTGTGAAAGAACAAGCAGACTGAAAATGGAAACACAGTGTTAAATGTGGTGCAAATGGGATAAAGACACTGCAAGGAGCTGCACTAGCAGACAGATCCCTTCTATGCACTGGCTCCATCTCAGTGTTAGGAACAAGGGTGAGATGGAAGAAAACAACCCAATCGCAGAGGAACTTTGAACTAAAATAGGCTGTAATATCTTTTTCAAAATAATCTGATATATAACAGTTATTTGAGACTGCAGTGCAATGAGATTTGGACACCTACGTTATTTTAAAACCCCGTTGAACTTAGTGGGACTTGTATACATAATTAAGTCTTTTGAAAGGTCAGGATCTTAGCCATCATTTGTTAATTCTGGGCACAAAGTTCTTGATGAAATGAGTTGTGTTTTTAATAGAAATCAGAGTGGAGAGTATCTCTAATGGTTTGTGTACCTATGTTAAACCTATTGTAAGCATACTGTATTTTTCACCTTAAGTTTGTATTTTCAATTTCTGTAAATTCAGTGATAGTTTTTCAGGCCTTTGACAGGAACTGTGTAAACCAAAGGGGTTTTAATCAAAAACTGGATGGGAAGTTTTTTCTTTCCAGTATGGGAGGTGAAAATGAGAGTATTCTTTAGAAGGCAGAATTAATTATGGGTCCCACCTTTGGCTGCTTCAGGCTGTTTTGCAGGTGTGATAGAAGCCTTTTACTATGTGCTAAGCCACAATGCTTTGCTCCTTCTCTCTAAGGCAGTTTGTGGGTGCCATGATTCATGTACATAATACTAAAGAGAAATCTCCTTTTTAATGTTCCATATCATTTGATGGCAGACTTCTGATATGGTTTGTAATAATTTACAGGCATCAGGCATTCAGAAATCACAACGATGGTAATATTAGGGATGGATTAACAAAATGTAAACTTATACAAAGTGGCCTTAGAAAGGAGGAGTTTCCGTTATTATAGAGTTCTCTTGATGAAGTGCGGTTTAAAGAAAAAGAAAATTCTTTTTCATGCTACAACCATCTTAAATACTGACAAAGTCAAAGCTGCCAAGTACTTTAAATACAGTTGACTTTTACCTTGAAATTATCTGGTTACTCACTGGTATATTTTTTTCTCTCCTTCAGTGTGAACGAACGTGATCATTTGTTAAAAAGGCTCGGCAGGAAAACTCCTCCAAGCCTTTTCCGTGCTCATTCTGTCCAGCAAAGTGTATCACGTAAGTAGCAGATCATGTATGCATGTGTGTTTCACAGCAGTCAGTCCCAGATCAGTGAAGCGAAGGGTGATTATTTTTTAATTAAATTGTAGGTAGAGATAATCTAGTGCAGAGGCTGAGCTGCCAAGCAAGACACATACATTTGGAAGTGGAATTAGTGTATTTGGCCCTAGGCAAGTGGAGCTCAAATGTGGGTAATTCCCTAGGATCCAATCAACAGGCGAAAATGACAAAATCCCAATACACAGGTTCTCTAAATGTAAAATCCTGATAGTTGCAAGATTACTGTAAAATCAAAAACTCTGCAGGATAAAATAAATGTTGTGACAGAGCCTAGCTTAAATAGAAATGGTTTCTTTATGAAAAGTTGTATTAGCTGTGCTTAGCTGAGAATACAGCAATGTTTCAGAGATGCCACTTAGGGGTTCTGTGTGTTTCTGATGAGGAAAGCCATGGCATGCAGAGCTGCCTCTCTCCTCTCCCTCTTTGTCCTCTGCTGGGAGAAGAGATGCAATGTCACATCTTGCTACTGCTGCTATTTGGAATAAATTGCATTTCTTACTGGTGTAGAGATCATCCATTTATTCATCTTCCTAGAGGAACGTGTGACAGGCCTTGGTCTGCTGCACCTGATGTTTTTTTGTCAGTGTTAGAAAGGCTTCCACAGCATTAAAAATAATCTAACAGCTCTGTAGGCCAGATACACTGAAGGACCATGCTGTCTCAAGCGACCAGGGAGGCCAGTCAACCCCTTCTAGTAGTAAAACGCAGTCTCTCTTGTGATTAAGCTGGTGGTCAAAATATGCTCATCTCACTAAAGGAAATAGCCCCCCAGCGTGCAGTACTGCTGCACACAGGGCAAGGAGCAGGCACTCAGGATTTGGGTTTCGTATTGCTGTTGCAGTGAGAAGTGACACCTCTGACTGTTTAAGAATCCCAGGGAAGTCAAATCTCATTGCTGGCTGTGTCATCTTCAGTAGCAGAACTGTTGTGGTTCAGGCTATGGAGGCAGGGCTGGGGTTTGAGAACCCAAATCCCTGAGGTATTCCTATTTTCCATGGGGAATTTGACTAGAAGGGGTGGAACAGTGACGGATCTGCTAGTCTCTGTCCTTCACAGAGCCCTTGCAAGGCCATCACTGTCAAGGGATGTAGGGTCTTTAGCGATCAATCCCATTGCTCCTGGGAAAAGAGGCTGGTGCGCAGAGCAGCCCTGTGGACCATGTGCTCCTGCCAGGATTTAATCCTTTGTGTCAAGGAGCCAGGGATGCTGACGGTAGCACGGCTTTGGGCATGCAAGCATGCTCTTTGAGGAGATTCCAAAGGCAATGATTGGCAGAAGAAATCCATAAAATGCATAAATAAATTTCTATCAAAGTAGTTTGCTGTAGAGACTTACCACAGTGCAGAAGGGAGATACACCAGTGGTGACTAGTCAGACTTGATATATGCTTTTAGTCTGGTAGAACACATCATCACGTTGTTATAGGTGAATAGCTATTGGGAAAGAAAAATGAGATATCAAAATAAATGCTAATTTGGATAACCAGCTTCCCTATAAATGCAAATGATTAAGTGCTAAATGAGTCAGGCCAGGTTACAATCAGCCGTCTGTTTTTCACATGAACGTAAATTTTGATTGTGAAGCTGTTAGGATTGAAAGACGCTTTTTATGGTGTATCCATGACTCTTTAAAACTTCTGTCATCTCTTGTCAAATGTTATTTTTCCAATGTTGCATAGCTGCTATATGTACAAGGCCATGTGAAATCCAGGGAACATATGTGCTGTTTTCACAACCCTAAATTGTACAACTGTTTACTAAATGCTAGAAATCTTCAAAAGCAAAGAGTTGATGAATAGGGCAGTAGCCTTGACATGCTGGGCCAATATCTTAAATCACACTACAAGCACTCTGTTTGAAGTCTTTAACTGTTAATATGTTTCCACCAGGCTCCAAGTTCCCAGCCTGTGAAGGTCACTTCTTCCAAAAATTGCTTGTGTGACTTCAACTCAGAATCTGACACTTGCATATAAAGCAGGAAAATGGTTTGTTTAGTTAGAGCTGACAAAGGCTTAAGCAAATCAATTGCCTTCGTCCCAGCAAGGAAGGAAAATGGAATTAAATTTCCTAGCACAGATTGTAAAGATGCGGTACTGGTTTGGGAGTCACTTTATTTTTGACAACAACTGTTTCCAAATTTTTAGAGAGGAAACAATGCCTAAATAGCTTTGTTTCCAATCACATGGAAAGGAGAAAAATTCATGGGGAGTTTCAGGGCTGCTACTAGTGGTCTACGGTGGGAGGAAAAAGATGACTGAGGTAAGTCTGCAGATCCCTGTACTGGAAGGCAGAAGCTCGTTCTGTGTGTTTCCTTAGCTCTCTGTTGGTGAGCCAGCCCCTCTCCAAAAGCATTAGCACAGCACAAGACCTTCAGGCAGGATGCATGGCTGGGGTGCTCCCATACAGCACCAGGCTCTGGCAGATCCAGCCTCCAAAGTGGGGGGCAGAGCCACACAGCCAGTGCCATGTCAGTGCCATATAGGAGTGCCAGCCAGGATTAATCTCTTAAATGCCTCCTTCCAGTAAAGAAACTGGCTCGGAGTGAAAGGAATCGTGAATTCCTGAATCATGTAGAGCTGTCAGAAGCATGAAAGAAATCTATCTACTAACTGTACTGGCAAAGATCACGTGGTTCCTTCCTACCAGTGTAACTTCTGGGAAACTTTATAAAAACTTAAAAAAAGCCCAAACAAAAAAAAAGTGAAGTTTCTGTTGGACGGCATTGTCATGAGACTTTAGTGGGAGAGTTTTATACGATTGTCAAGCCCATGTGCTAACATAAAACTATCTCAGTGGAATCTTGTAGGCAGCGGTGATGACGCTGGTCTCCGAGCTTGGTGTAGCTCCTGGTGAAGGTGCCTGGTGAAATTGGAGATTGCCCATTGCCGTCTGCTTTCTAAAGCCTCTTAAGAGTGAGCAGGAAGTGCCACCAGGCTCCTCTCAGACGTGTCTGTGGACCCTTCCCTTTAGTGTGCTGTGGGGTTCACACTCACGGGAAGGACCAATGATGACTCCCAAAAGTTCTCCCTCTCAGAGGGTTTGCTGGCAATGAGGTTTTCTCCAGGTGAGCTTTCTCCAAGTCTCCGTCCAAGTTCATGTCTTTTTTTTTTTTTTGCTGTGACTTTGTGAAAGTAGCATCTCCTTTAGACAAGCTCTGTGTAGATACAAAAGATGGTTCTTGACCTCCCCTTTCTTCCTGCATGACTGACCTGTATCACCTGTGCCCCCAGAGCCTCACCAGCAGGATGGGAAGGGTGATGCTCCCCACTTGCTCAGGTACCCTCAGACCTGTCAGTCTTTAAGAAAAGTCCTATACCATCCCTCTAGTGCAGTTTTCCTCCTGTAATTCAGAATACCCCCTGCCAGTGTTTAGTTGTCATTTGTCTCAGCATGCTCTTAAAAACAGCTGAATCCTGCTCTCGTTAAGCACTGCTCCAGCAGAACTCCCCCTGAAATGCGGAGAGCTGTGCCTGAATGAGGATTACTGCACTTGGCCCAGATTTCCTATGCTAGCAAAGAAAACCCCTCTTCCTTTGACAGAATATGGTGATTGCATAGAGTAAATCCGAACGCAGGGCGTATGGTTTGCACCTTATTAATCAATGGAGAAAAAGCATCTGTCATCTGAGGTTCATTTCACAGTATGGGGGCTGGCAAATAATAAATAATAATAATGTGTTCATGCTGAGGGCTCTAATCCCCACCATTTATTCTCCACTAGCAGACACCTTCTTCCTCTCGCTTTCTGGTGGTACATTTTGATTTGAAAAACAACAGGATAGCTACTTGAGATGCTTTTCATCCTCTTATCTTGTGTGTGTTTGAAATAGAAGATACATTCTCTATTTTTTCCAAGCTACATATTCGTTGACTGTCAAGTGGAGTTGCAATCTTTTAAAATCAACTTAAGAAAAAGAAATAGGAATAATTAGTTTAGAATTGATGCTGTGGCATCTGGCTGTTTTCTACATGCACATACCGGTAGGTTAGTATCTGGGACGAAAGAGATGGGACCATTTGTCAGGAATTCCTCTTGGGTCCTTTAGAAAACACAGGCATAGTTTATCAGCAGAGAAATGAATGATTTGTGTAAGCATTAGTCAAAAAGTTCAAGATGTAAAACAGCTCTCACTTTCCCAGGATAAGTGGAAGAGGATTGCCGGAGAAGTCAAAGCTGAGTTAGCATTTACGGTTTAATTGGTAAATGTGAACTACAACATCATAGCAAATCTCCTTAAAACCTGTGCAGAACCAGACATTTGGCCTGAGAGAGAATTTGGCTGGCCAAGTGATACCCTAACATTGATTTTTATTATGTCAGAGAAATTTTTGGTATCTAAGAAGCAACATTTCCTAAAAGAGACTTTAAAAAAAAAAAAAAAAACTAAAACAACTCCTCTCCCATCCCCCCAAACCCTAAAACTTAATTTTAGTGGATTTGAATCTGGGCATTTTTCTCCAAAGGCAAAAAACATGATGGTAAAATGCATTTTATATTTTGGACTATGCTAAACCATAATACCACTGCATGTATGAAATAGTGAAATGCTGCAGAAGGCAAGGTTTCTGACAGGCTTCCAGAGAGAACTGCCCTCTTGCTGGTTGGGACAAACAGTTCAGGTGTATTAGAGGAGAGTGCAAGGAGTAGGAGGCCTCTAAAATAAATCCCTGAAGTGACTAAAATTGTATGCAGTCCTTCTATGAGCAGATTTTCTGGAATAAAAAGAGCGCTCTGGACACTTTCTTGGTCCTGGTCTTGGAAGCTGTTGCGTGTGAGTGGGCTGTTGAGCCTGCGCAGCGTTACTGTCTGTGTTCAAGACACATGCATGGAGATGGTTTCTCTAATCCAGCATTGCACAGACCAGAATAGTCATTGCAGTGAACAGAAGAAGAGTGTGTTAAATTAGAAACCTAATGGGAGACTAGATTGTGATCTACTAATAGAATATCAAAGCTTTAAAAAAACCCAACAGGATGCTTTTAAAATTCAGGAGGTTACCTGATAATATCTGGTACGAGTGAAACCTTAGATTTGATGAGAACGTGAATCTCCTCTTAACAAATGAGCCCCACTGACACATACTCAAAAGTACACCTTTCCTCCATTAACAGAAAGTCTGAGTACAAAGGTCCTTCCTTCTGCAACAGCCGTGAGTGGGCTGTGCCCAGAAAGCCCCAAAGAAATGTGCTCCTTCCTTGGGCTGCTGCAGGACAGCTGAACAATGAGGGCCTTGTTCCCAGGGCAGGCTCATAGGTGTGGTTTTAAAAGTGGAGTTGGGGGGAAAAGTTCAAACTTCCAAAAAGTTCCTTAGTAACTGGCAGATGGAAACTTTCATTGTTTTTGGATGGGGTCTGAAAATTGTGGAAATGTAGAGCTGCTTGGGGAGTGCGGATGGGACTCGAGCATTCACGGCGTTCTGACTCCACAAGGCACGGTCAGCTGCCTGAACAGCTTGAAGATTGATTTTAATTGTAATGTGAATAAAAAATTGTAATATGAACTCATCTTCCTGTATAAAGATCAACAGGAAAAGTTTTAAATAAACTGCTAAATGCTGAGCTTCAACTAAGTAGGGCAGTGTGCAAGTTTGGGGGTCACAGCCTTTCCCATGCTGTACTCACAAAACCCTCATCACTGATATTTCAGGATGGATCAAGAATATGAGGATGTAAGGATACCCCTGGTATTCTTAACGATTGATTGTCTTAGCCTGAAATTTTTTGCTGTGTTAAGGTGTTTTCTACTGGTGTGAGAGTGGTGAATGTATTTCTTTGATTGCATTTTGTATTGGCTTTGCAGAGGGCTTGGGCTGCCTGGCTGTTTATAGGCCTGTGCTAGCACTGGAAATAAGCAGGTCATGGGAAGATACTTGGGGTTGACGGGCTCCGCACACTGGTGTGGTCAATGCTGGATTTGCAGTAGTTATGGCAGTTGAAGAAGCTGCTGTGCTGAATGTTCTTACTGGATAAGTAAATATAGCTAAGCCATCTTGATGCAGACCAGGTTATGGGGCATTGGCTTCAGTCTTTTAGGGCTTAAGCTTGTGGTCTTTGACCAAGTTGACTTCCCATTGAGAATTTAGCCAAAAAAAGGTAACAGTATGCTGGCCCTTAGCGTGGAACAAACCCGCTGGAGGTATTTGTTTAAGTGTGAATCTACCCTTCTTTAAATGAAAGCCTGTTTTGTAAATCATACTTCCTCTGCAGTTATCCAGCATGCACATACTTTTTTCCAAAAGACTGTTTGCATTTTGTGAATGTATTCTGTGAACCTTCAGCTAGAGGCAGGAAAAACCAACCTGTACCTCTGTAGCTGTATGTATGTTGGCATGGAATTGCTCAGGGAAAATAAAATGGGATGCTGGCATGATTGGTCACATGATCAAATCAAAGATCATACTGTCCTGCAATCGCTCCAAGAGGGTGATGTGACTGGAGTTAGTTCTGGATGATGTATTTCTGTTTGAATCCCTCCATTTACTGGCAGAGATTTCCTACCGTGCTTGTGATTCAGGTCAGCTAACCTGCTGATAGTGTGCTGATAGCTCTCCTGCTAAGGGAGTGTGCGTTCTGCCTTAAGAGCTGGAATCTACAGCAAAGTCCCTGTGGCTTCAGCGGTGACATTTACCTGCATTCTGTGAGAGAGAAGACCCTTCACATTAATTGAATGGTGGTCCTCCCTAGTGTTGTGGGACTCTCTTCCCAGCAGCTTACAGCTGTATAGGAGTTGTTGACAACCCTCACTGTGCAGGCATCAGCCAGAGGAAAAGATCTAGGAGTACTTGAGCATCTGTGCTCAGCTCACATGGTCCCAACTTGGTTGTCAAGTTGAAGGTTTAACAAGCCTCACTCAGGGGATACAGTTCATTTCTGGCCTTCTGGGCTTCTCCTGGCTACCAGCATCAGTCACCTGCTTCAAAGCAGGCTGCATTCAGGCCCATGGGAATCAAGTTCAGTCTACAACACCAAGCTGCTTAGGGGCCTCACATCCCTCCTGCCTTTAGAGGGTGTTCAGCCCCGTGTGCCTTTCTGTCACAGGGGTCCCTCTGTGTTGTGCTCCAGCCTTATCTCACCTCAGTACCTGATCTGGGGGGGAATATGCCTTGAGCTTGTTAAGGGAGGACTCCTGAAAGACACTTGCTAGGTGTCTGGGTAGTAATTGGGACATCTGTCCTTATCTGATGCTGTGTCTTTCAGCCTGGAGTGAATCTGGGGCAGGATTTCAGAATTCACAAGCTCGTGCTTCCAGAGCTGCTCGGGGGAGATGGAGAGTTGCCCATGGAGAGTTAGCCATGGTGTAATTCTTGGGTTCTCCCAGGCAGCGTTCACATCTGCCAACTCTTGCCTGCTTTCCTACTACAAAGCATTATCTGGTTCTGCATAGCCTGTGACTTCCCTATTTCTCCATTTTTGTAGCTATGCTAATCTGCCCTTCTTCTTTCTGGTTACCCATTTACACCTGAAAATCACCTTTCCTTGGTGTCACAAAGTCTGTTGTCCTTTGCTATAGTTTTCCTTTCAGAACTTTCTGTAGGGCCATGTCTGCTTTAAATATTGTTTGGTGTTTCACCATGTTGACCCATTAGCTTTTGTAACTGTTTTACCAGTAACATGGTGTTTTGCAGATGTCAGAAATGACACTTTTCTGCAATATTTTAAAAGAAATCAGACACATGGTTATTTTCATCTAAGTAATTTCTAGGGAGACCAAAGGATTGTGCTTTCTAGCAGGATTAACTTGTGCAAAATAGAGACCTCCAGAATATGTTTGTTTGCTCTATTCAGGATATGGGTGACTGGCCAAGAGAATCAAGAGTTTCTCGGTGTGTTTTGTCAGATGCCACCTGGAAACTTGTGTAAAAAAAAAAAAAAAAAAAAATCCTGAATGGAGTTAAAAGGAAGATGTGACTCAGATCCAGTTGTGGTCTAGACATTTCCATGTTCCTCGAGGGGAAACTGCTGATATCAAGCAGACTATAGAGGAGTCAAGCCAAAATGCAAATCTCTACCTGTCTGTTAAGTCTTTAAAGAAGCTCTGCCACTATGTGAGTACACATGGTGTCCAAATCAATCTGTAGCTTATTAGTCAGGTTAACTCAGAGGGATGTGTTGACTGTGTACACTAACCTGGCCTGGGGAGGGGAGCAGTAAGACAGAGCTTGCAGCAGATGTCCTTTCTGTGCCACGTGGGCAATGTAGTGCACAGCTGTAAATGTCAGAATCGCAGCACAGAATTGAAGATTGTTGCAGTCTCAGTCATGTAACTTTAGTGATGCCTAAAACTGTTCCTAAAAATGGGCTGTGCCCTTGAGCTGGTCTCCAGTTACTTATTTTTTTTTCTGCCTTTGCTTTTTCAGATGGGTATGCATTTTCTCAAGAAGAACACGGTGTTGTTTCCCAGTCGCAAGTTGTTCGATCCTACGATACAACCAAAAGGAGAGCAGAAATAGAATAAATGGTTCTTTACTTGATGGGTGGTGGGAATGATGGGATTTGGATCAATGCATCCACTGTTAACACATTCTTAACTAGGGTTGGCAGCAGCAGCCAAAACACCAGAGAACTCATTTCTGTGGCCTTAGCCAACAAGTTTCTGTATTCTCCCTGCAAACCTTGAGTACGTATTGTGGGGGGGAATCGTTGTTTGAATTCAGTTGCAAAGCCCTGCCTAAAGTTTTGTTTATGTTGTTATGAAGCATTTGACTGTGCTATGTGAGGTGTGAAATTAAAAACAATGTTTTACCACTATTTAAAACATCAGCATAAGGTTGTTCTGGGAGAAAAGTAGAAAATTTATGTTCCATGAGAAATCAGCCTTTGCTTAATTGAAACGGGGTGCTGAGATTTCCTGTTTTGTTACACACAGACCAAGTGCACACGGCTGCATGCAGACCTTACTCCCTCTAATATTCACTGTTTACTAATTTGGCTGAAATTTTTAACAGACAATTTTATGTAAAATTTTTGATTGCGACACAATCTGTAGCTAAAAATGCTTATTTGCCTTCTTGTGACAGAATAACACAAGATAGTAATGAATTACTTAGAATATTTCTTGCCCTCTTGCAGGATTTATTAGGGCTCTATCTTAGCTTTCTAAAACCCAATTAATAGCTTGCTCACAAAACCAGGATGTGGAAGTCAGAGAGCTCGGCAGGGCAGCTGTCTCGAGTGCATGGCATTGTGCACAAAGATGAACTCAAATAGGTGCCTCCTGGTAACTCTTCGTGATGTATTTGGACATGCACTTCAAATGTAGCCTGGGATTTCCCTCCATGATCCCATTCCCACTTTAATGGTAGAACAAAACAGTGAGAATTTAAAAGGTACAAGCTTGTCAGATGTTGAGAAAGATGATGTGCATCCGCACAGGAGGCTGATACTGTAGCCCTAAAGAAGCATTCCCCTGACCAGGTAGGATAGGCTTGCACAGGAAAGTTAGGAAGGGTCTACCCACGTGCATACACACACATGTATGCACACAGAGCTGATCATTGTGAAGAGAAGACCTGCTGTTTGTTGGTTCAGCCAAACCAGTCCCTCTTCTAGATCTAATCCATCAACAGGCTTCCCAACACACTTGGACCCATGAGCCCTGGCAGGAATGCTGGCTTCACAGCCTCGCTGTGCCAATGGGACAGGCGTGCTACTGCATAGATTGGAATTTTGGAAAAAAGCAAAAACTGGGGCATAAGTTAAAGCTGAAAGAGCTCTTAGAAAGCTTATGCTGTCCTCCAGACAAGTTCTATTAATTTTAGTTGCCAAGCCATGTTTCTGAATAGCATAAAGTAAATACTGCTGTGTTTTAGCCAGGTTTTGTGGTTAATGTATATACTACATCTGTGCATTTAAAAAGTTGGCGTTGCTTTTTGCCCTATTGACCGTCATCCAGAACTTTTTATTGATTTAAATATATCCGAAAGCAATTTGAATATGAATATTTGTGTTTAGCAAGGAAAAGGAAAATGCCAGCCTGGCCCACTGGTTTAATCTTCCTTAAGGGTTGTGAGTAAATGCCAGTGCTCAAGTGTCGTAGTTCAATTCCCAGTGCCACCTCAGAGGCTCGGAGTCCCCTTCCATGTTAAAAAGCAAATTTTGCTCCTGCAGGACCAGGCAGGATTGCTCTCGGATTAGGCTGATGGCACAGAGGGAAAAGTCATCGCCTTCTTTCTGCAGTGCTAATGAGACAATTATGCAATAAGGGAAACGTGCAAATAATTTTGCCATAGGCATGAATGTCAAGGGGCCAAGTGTGGGTGTATGTATTTTCTGGGAGATGAATTTTGTTTAAAGGCATGAATACTCGTGCAGAGAATAAATAAGGGGAGGGTAAACCTGATCCCAGGAGCTTTTAAATCTTAATGCTGACTTAACCTGTTAAACACTTTCTTTTATTTAGAAACAAAATCTATTTAGGAAATGTGTGGTGTAAGCCTGTCCTCAAAGCTGCTAACTGCTTCTTCCTTTTGCAGCAACACAAGGAAAATTAACTTCCCACTGAGACAAAGCTAGATCAGCTTAGTCTTTGTACTCTAAGCCACACACTAAACATTGGTATGTAAACAATTTGGAGGCTTTTCATGAGGATACAGAAAAAAACTTTCAAAAACCTCTGGATAATGAAGAAGGGCAAGTAAATGTGTTGAGCAGAGAATAGAAAGGATCCTGGAGTCTTTTCTGTTCTCAACTTAGTTCAACAAAATTTTACAGAACATAATGAGAGATGCTGGGGAGGAGCAGCTGTCATCTAATGTGATTTATTTTATTAGTGCAGACTATGAGCTGTATCATTTTGATCTCTCTGTAAATTGAGGTCAGTGTGTGTCACAAACACAAACCCTCCCTAGAGGGAATAGTGGCTTAGATTGAGGTACGTGTGTTGGATGTCAGCTCAATGGGAATTACACATGGGGTTTGTCACAGGGCTATACAGTATGTGACACTGGGGCTAGCAGGTCAGACTTTATCATCGCTGTAAGGCCTTAATCTCTAGCTGAGTTAATCCTGTAGAGCCCACCCAGGTCAAGACCTGGCATTCTTCTTGTTCTTTGGAGTCATTACAGGAACTAATGTTTTGTAATATGCTGTAGCTTGACTGTTGGAGTTGCTTGTCTTGATGAACAATGATGAGGTGTATTCCAGTGGTGTGTTAGCAAAAGGAGAATGACAGCTGCTCTGCATCAACAGAATTCCTTGTTCATTAATGCAAATGCATGTAGCAGTAACAGCAACCTTTGAAAGCGCTATGGACAATAAAGGTGGACCAGAATAAGTGAAATGCAGGGACTATGACATGGTCAGTGGCCACACTGGGTGCAAATTGGCCCTCTATGGACAACCCCAAGAGCTTGAGAAGTGCACGGTCCTTACGCTGTCACTGTCCTGCAGGCTTATTTTGCCCTTTTGGGCTAACTCGCCAAATCTGCTGTTTTGCGTTGCCTCTAGTCATCAGTGCAGACTAGTGATGCCCTATTTACATTCTCCCTTGGTTTTATAAATAATGACTTAATTTCATTTTTAAATACTCTGAGGACTGTGCTTGCGCTGTTATGCCTCACAGCTCAAGTTTGAAGCAGAGCAGCCCTTGAGCGGGTGTTCACCGCTGAGAAACACTTTGGATTTGTCAGATTTCTCCCTAGTTTTAAGGCACTGAGGATCTTTTACCTTAGTTTTGGATCATCACACAGTATCGATGCCTTAAACTTCAGTCAGTTTGCAGGGAAAGTTCTTTGTGTCTTGGTGAGTCTAACAATAAACGGTGATGATATGAAATACCTGATGGGTTGGAGGAGAGTTTGGCTGTGTCTATGCTATACCTGATGCATCTGGGTAGCAGTTTGCTTCTGAAACATGGCACTGACCATGCATGTTCCTCAGTCTTGAGACAGTTGGGCTCCTTCTGTCCTATCGGGAAGGACCCTTGTACTCATCTCTTCCAGAGTCTGTCTGTGCTGCAGCTCCACATCTCCTCGAGGATGCTGAGCACCAAGCAGATCCAGACCCTCCTGCCTACCTTGTACCTGCAGGCCCCCCTGGGCACAGCCCTGAGGCTGTCCTGCAGGCAGCTGTTAGAGGCACAGCCAAAGTGCCTATCAAATAGGGAGAGTTTTGAATTCAAATCCAAGTGTTGTTTCTAGCCATAACTTATAATTGTCGCTACAGAGAGTGTGAAGAAGTATACAAGAGATGTAGACTCAGCAGGTTATGAATCTGATGACTGGACTTGTACATAGCCCATTCCCATCCCACCGGTCAGGCCCTGTGTGAGCAACTGTGTCACTTGGCGAATGAGTGAACAGGCAATGACACTTCAATTTAGTGTGTTGCTTATTTGCAGCCACGTCACTGTTCCTCAGAAGCCCTCTGTGCAGGAGCTCTGTCCCAGATCCCGCTCTGAAGGACAGCTCTCCAGCCAGGCTGAGAGGCAGCCCCAAGGAGCTGCCTGTTCCATAACATGGTGACATGGTTGTCTTTGTGTCAGACAGTGATTGGTGGGACTCTGCCAGCAGCAGCAGGGGTAAAACAAGCCACTCCAGGAGCACAGCCCCTGCTTTTTTGGAAGTGACCTGTTAGTGCTGATGAGGTTGGGCCTTTGACATAACCTGAGCTTTCAGATAGGTAGTTTCTTTCTGGAGCTTATTCTTCCTGGTGCTGAGCTTTCTGGGTTGACTGCAAGCAGTCCTGTTAGAATAGAGTGAAACATGCTTTTACCCATTTTCTGTACTGTACACAAAAGGCTCGGTGCTTTGTTTGGTGAAACCGTATGCATTGATATTCCACCCCACCCACCCCCCACAAAGCTTTCTCCTCCTGTATGGGGTTGGGGCAAGTCTCCTCGGTTTGATTACACAGTTAACGCAGCCCTGTTCCCATTTTATTTTCACTAGTCTTACAATACTGGTTACACTGACTTCTCAGAACTAAATAGCTCCAGGAGGGAGAGAGCTCAGATCCTCTTACCTGAAAGCTTCATTATCCTCCAGACACCCAAGAGCCTCCACTACCCTTCAGTGCTTGTGACCAGAGCTGTGTGTCTGGAGAAGGCCACAGGACAGGTCAGTACAATAGATGACAACAAAATAAATCCATATGGGTACAGAGAAGAACTCTTTCAGTACCTTTTCTATACCTAGCAGCAAGATTAATGGAGGCCTTGAGCCTTGTTGGCAAATAAAAACCAGGAAGTGCCCTGTGCTGCTTGGCCACACAAGTGAATCCCAAAGGTGATCGCTTCTCGGTGACCTGCAGAAAGCTCAGACAGCCTGGCTGGATTTATCTGGCCGGGAATGTGCTCTCAGATGGACTGTCTGGAGGGGTGAAGGGACTGGAAAACGATAATAGCTTGGCCAAGCCCACTGCTGCTGTTAGAGCTGAGGGAGAAGAGGCATTGCTCGGGCTTCTCTGAAGAGCTGTGGTAAAGCTTACTTCTCTGGTTCCTTCCTGCGGCTCTGGGAA